TCAGCTTGTGAGACGAATGCGCGCTGCGCTGAGGCGAGAATCACAACTTGAAAACGGCACGCCATCCGTGCGCGCCGCGAAGGCGAGAGGCGATAGCCACATGCTGAAAAGGAAAAGCGAGTGCGCGCGGCGCTAACGCAACCGCCACATTCTGAAAAGAACTCGACCTCCATCCGCGAAGCTGCTGCAAGCTTGTGAAACGAACGCGCGCAATGCTCATGCGAGAAACACCTTTGGAAAACGGCCCGTCCTCCATCCATGAAACAGTTGCACTGTTCAAATTACAGGATCATGACTGGTGACGAAGGCTCCGGCTAGACGCCTGGCCCGCCCTACCTGCATGTCTGGGGGTGCAGTATGGAGGAGTTCGTTTTAGAAGGGAAAGGGATGGAAGAGGAGACCCTCCTCATCCACCTCCTCCTCCTGACGCTGACGCTGTGGGCAGTTGTCCAATCCAACGGCGCTAGTCAGGACGGATAGACTTGCATAGATTCGCAAAACTTCGATTGCGGTGGGGACGCCGAAGAGGGAACGAGACGACGACGACGACGACGACGACGACGAAGACAACGACGACGACGACGACGACGACGACGACGACGACGACCGCCGCGGCCCGTGCCTCATAGGCCCAGCGGATAGCGTCCAGGCGGGGCTTGTACAATTTGAAGCCCTTGGATATCAGCTGCTCGCTGGACTTCCTCGGGGCAAGCGGCGAAAACGAGGAAGGGAGCAAGGAGGAGAGAGAGAGAGGCGGAGAGGGGGGCATTCGCGGGAGAACCTGCGGACGACCTAGTGCCACAGGCAAGCAGCAATGTACACTCTTCCGAGGGGGGGGGCTCCTGCCTCCAAGGAGGGATGCCTGGCCAAACGAGTCGGGGGAGGCTGAGGTATATTCCACATGTCACACTTTCTCATTTCCTTCAGGGCCCTCGCATCGGAGATGGAGTTGCCCTCGCATGTTCTGCCAGCGAAGAGGAAAGGGATGGGAGGGGAGGCGAGGGAGACGAGGCGACGGAGGAGGCGAGGGATGGAGAGCGAAAGAAAACAGGGGATAAATAGGAAAAGAGAAATAAGGATATGGTAGGGGAAGACGAGGGGAGGGGAAAAAGGGAAGGGAGGGGAGAGAAGGACGGGAACGGAGGCAAGAGGAGAAATAACCTCCTCCTCCTCCTCCTCCTCCTCTTCTTGATTTCGTCTTCCTTATGAATAGCTCCTCCCTGTCGTAGCCCGAGGCCGGTCGAAAGGGCGGGCCGGGAGTGTCGCCTGAGACTTCCTCACCACTAATGGCTCTGAAGCTCAGAAATTGGCAACAGTTTCACCAATGGAGGGCGGGTCGCTTCCAAAATGTGGGTCTCGTCTTAGCGCCACGCACATTCGTTTCAAACGTTTGCCAGAGCTTCACGGATTGAGGGCGGTTGGTTTTCGACATATGTTGCTCTCGCCTTAGCGCTGAGAACATGTGTTCCATAAAGTTGCAAGAGCTTCACGGATTGAGGGCGTCTGGTTTTCAAAATGTGGCTCGTGCCGCGCACATGCGGATTACAAATTTACAAGAGTTCGACGGGTCCCCATTGTATTCGGGAAAGACTCAGTAATGTAAGGGCGCAAAAGGTATGTTGATTCGCGGTGTTGAAGTCACAAGAACAGTGTTTTGGCACGACTCCGAATCGCCCAGACGCAACAGTCATGTTGATTCGTGGAGATGGGGTCCCGAGAATGGTGTGTTGACACGCTTCATGGTTTTCAAACGGTTGTCTCCCAACGGGGAGGATCCCTCTTCGGAAATGAACCCGAGTATGGGGCCGGTGACGACAGGAGTTTGGAAGGAGGGGTTATTCCAACATCGTTGATGAGTCCTTGGTTTACACAAGTCTTCCTCCTCCTCCTCATCCTGCTCCTCCGCATGCTCCTCCTCCTCTTCCTCCTCCTCCTCCGACTCATCGTCCTCTTATTCCTGCTCCTCATGTTCCTCTTCCTCTTCCTCCTCATCATCACCACAATCATCTCAAGTATTGTCATAATGATCACCAGCATCATCATCATCATCATCATCATCATCATCATCATCATCATCATCATCATCATCATAATGATCATCATCATCATCATCATCACCACAATCAATATCATCACCATCATCATCACCATCATCACCACCACCACCATCATCATCAGCATCATCGTCATCAACATCAGCATCATCATTGCCATCCTCAGTCCTCCCTCCTCCTTCCTCTCTCCTCCCTCCTCCTCTCTCCTGCCTCCTCCGTCCATCATCTCCTTCCGCTCCTCCCTCTCATCCTCTTCCTCCCCATCAGCATCCATCCTCTTCCTTTTCCTCCTGTTCCTTCTCTTCCTCCTCCTCCCCCTCCTCATCCTCCCCCTCCTCATGACCACCACAATCAGCATCATCAGCAGCAGCATCATCATTATCATCACCTGTATCATCATCCGAATCAGCCGCAGCATCATCATAATCAGCATCATCATCATAATCATGATCAGCAGCAGCATCATCATCACCACCATCCGAATCATCATCATCAGCAGCAGCAGCATCACAATAATTCTGAACATGGTCACGATCCTCAGCATTGTCGTCATCATTATCATTATTTTCATCATCGTCATCAGCATCAGCATTAACATCATCATCACCACAATCGGCATAACCATCGCCATCATCATCAGCATCATCAGCATCGTCATCATCATAATCGTCGTCATCATCGCCACCACCACCACCATCATCATCATCATCATCATCATCATCATCATCAACAGTATCATCATCATCATCGTCAATCATCATCAGCATCCGCATCATCATCATCCCCCTCCTGAGTCCCGACGGCGACAACATCGTTCCGACGTTGCACTTCCCCCCCGCCTCAGGGCCTGTCGACCCTGAGGGAGTGATCAAACTATAGTGGCGATGAGGTAACATGTAAAGCCGTTAAAAGGTGGAGGTAAAAAAAGACAGCAGATCGCAGAGAGAGAGAGAGAGAGGAAGAGGAGAGAATGGACGTAACATAACCTCAACAGGGAAAGAGAAGAGGGGGGTGCGGCGGCGGCGGCGGTGTAAAAGGCAGGTCGGGGGAGGCTGGCGCATCCCGCGGCGGCGGCCAGGCGGAGCGCTGCCCCCCCCCCTCTCCGAGGCACCCCCGCGGCCCATCCCCCACCATAGCAGCAGCAGACGGGCGCAGGTGCGCGCGGCGGGAAGGGGCCGGCGGCTGCAGCGTGGAGCGGCGCAGCGTCGTCGAGGTAGGCAGCGGGGCCCGCTGGGGAGAGGGGCGTCGCGCGGCCCACGCCAGCCTCGGCCAGCGCCAAGGCAGCCGTCGGTGAACGTGCCCATCCGCCCCCCCCGCACTCCGTCGGACAAATCCCAACTTCAAGCCCCTCCCGCCCCTCCGCCACAAGAGTGGGCGGGCGAAGGTGGGCGGGGCGAGCTGCGGGGGGGGCGGGGGGGCTGCAGGAAGGCGGGCGGGGAAGGAGTGCAGGTTGGGCGAGGGCCTCTCTGGCAATCTCGTGGCACGTCGGCTGAACAGCACGCGTGGGTGAAAAAAACACCGCGGGCTCTGAGGCCACATTACCGTGGACCCACTGCATCGCATAGCGCGTGGGAAATGTGCTCGCCGTACAGTGCTGCGCTGCGTGGTTTCACTGGGGGACCCGTGGAGATGCGGAATAAGTATTTAGTGCTGAAAAGCAGTTGCCGCTGCCCGGCACGTAGGCCAAGGTGCTCCATGAGCGCGGCGGCTCGGTGGAAGCGTAGTACCGAGGTATGGGCGTGGGAAGGAGCAGCTGGCCGCTGGTAATGTCTGCTGTCAGTAAGAACCACACATGGGATGCCCAAACGCGCAAGGTGAGCGACGCACTGATGGGCCGCCGTTCGGCTGGTCCCATCGCGAGGCATGTGCCTCGTTGGTTGTGGGCGACAGTTTCTTCGACTTCGGCCTCTGGTGCACCTCATCGCGACCCGAAAACGGATCCGAGACGAAAAACTGCCCCCAGGGAAACGATCGGGAGGAGGAGAAAAGGAGGAGGAGGAGGAGGAGGAGGAGGAGGAGGGGGAAGGGGAGAGTCAAGAAGGACGAAGAGCAGCAGCAGCAGCAGCAGGAGGAGGAGCATGAGGAAAACATCTGGGAGGAGGGAAAAGAACAGAGAGAGAGAGAGTAGAAGAAGGAGGATGAAGGAAGAAGGAGGACGGGAAGGAAAAGGAAGGAAAGAGGAGGGGGGGAGGAGAGAAGGAGAACATGCGGCCCCAGTTTTTACCATAATGGCACCGCCTAGAGAACACTTGTGCTCTGCCGCCGGCGCATACCACGACCGGGTCCAGCGAACAGAAAACACATGAACTCCAAGCCCACACCGCCTCCCCCCCATGCGCCCCCACCACCCCCGCCTCTTCTGGCGCCTCCCCTGTCCTGCCAACCACCCAACGCCGACATCTTCTACTAAATCCGGAAACATGGAACTGTCGCGCGGCTGGAATTCCTGCGCGTTTGGACCTGATGCGCGCCTGACCTAAGCCACGCGCTCACGCGAAATCCTCCAGCCACTCATCGTAAGTCTCAGCATCTGTCCTGCGACTATGCTTAATCTTGGATTTGCACATGTCTGCTAATGGGGACTTACCGAACTTACCGTCGAACCACATTTCGTCGTGCTGGGCGATGATTTCCCTCAGCTGGGCCGTCTCTGTCTGCGTCAGAGTGCCATGGGTGGTGTGCGTTCCGAAAGTGTGCTTGCCCGGGTTGTGCTGCTCAGTGCATCTCCGGACCGATTTGCTGCAGGGCAGCTTCAGGTGCCGAGCCATGTCGCTGACCATCTTCTCATAGTTCATCCAGGCGTCCTCCAGGCACACCGTCTGGACGCGCGAGTCGTCCTTCGAGGCGTTGTAGGCGAGCTCCATCGTTCTGAAATTGTCCTCGAACTGGAACTTCATCTCCGCGTACACGCCCACGGGGATCGGCACCCGGGCCAGGTACTGGTTGTACGTCTCGCCTCAGGCGTTGCTTAATAGGGGGGCAACAAGCCGACCAGCCATAACTGGGGGAGCTGTGGTCCTTACCCCCCTGGGGGAACCCATCGCCTCGACGATCTCTCGAGAGGGGTGTCGAAATCGATGGGTCCCCCAGGGGGGTAAGGACCACAGCTCCCCCAGTTGTGGCTGGCCTGACAAGCGAGGGGATGAAGAGAGGTGCTTGTTTCGTGCACCCTTTTGGGCCCCTTACTTCGCCGTGACAAAAGTTTCCTTTGAAAGGCAGAAAACCGAAATCACCAAAGGAGGACCGTAGGGACGACCCTAGGATAATTGTTTCCCATGTAAAAAACCGATGGGATCATTCGGCCGGGATCTGGGAGAGGCCGGGATAATTATTTTCTACGTGAAAAACCAATGGGATAATTTCGATCCGGGATCTAAAATATTTATTAAGCCCCAGGACCCCAGGGGGTAATTATCCCGCCCGTGGCAGAGGCCCGACAACCTCTTCTTGTTAGGATTCTAAGGGGGGCAGGGGGTGGCTGATGCCATTTTGGCACGTCCACGGCTCCTCCAAATTTCAAAGGAACTTTCGTCACGCCGCTGTAGAGGCCGCTCTGGGGCCCCGTCCTGCCATACTCGACCCCACACACACAGACACACACACACACAAACACACTCTTGTCGCACCCCCGTTGCGAAACGCCCTGATCACCAGGGAAGAAGGGGTTGTCCGGCACGGCCTCGCCCAGGATCTCCACCGCGGGCCTGGCCAGCCAGGGCTCGACGGGGGGCAGCTGCCGGTGGTAAAGGTACGCGGAGCGCACGACCTCGCGCGGGGTGCGCACGAAGTGCACCAGGCGGTCGCAGCTGGGCGGTATGGTTCCGTCCCAGGTCAGGTCGTCCAGGGTGCGCTCCTCCTTTGGAGGGGAAGCGAACGAGACATGACCAAGACTGAAAGCGGAAATGTCGGCATCGATCTGGGTCACCGTCGATTCGTGGATCATCCTCGCGGATCGGCGACGGCCGGAATAGACCATGACCAAGATCGGCGTCGACGAGATCCCGCGGCATCTTGGTCATGGTCACCGTGCTTCCTCCCTCGCTCCTTGCACCGCTTGGCCTTACTCGCCATGTCCGCGGTGAGGGGAGACACGCCCGCGAAGCACGCCTCGAGCTCCAGGCCCAGGTTGGTGCCGGTCTTGTGGTGGCTAGCGAACATGATCTGCACGATGTCGTCCTGCCTGGCGGTGAGCGAGGAGGGAGGAGAGCGGGGGGACGGCAAGGGCACAACAAAGTCGAGCCTCGTCATCTTCGACCCCGTGCTCGCCCCCTCCCCCCTCCCCCTAGATTCAAGGTCGGCTTCGGCTTCGCAGAGGCCCTGGGGGCACCACTTCTTCTATCCCCCCACGCCTGCACTGCCGAATGCGTAGGACTAACTTTGAATATGCGGGGCAGGGCGAGGAGGCCGGGCCAACGGTAGCGAAAGAAACAAACACATGAACATGCCTTGTCGGAGGTCAGCGTAAAAATCGGCGCTGCACTGGCCCTGGGCGCGCAGAGCGCGCCAGAGGCGCCGCCAGGGGGGCCCAGCGCCAACCCACGAAATGTGCGCGGACCTCCCAAAGCTTACGTTTGTGCCTGTTCCCTGCTCGGAGGAGGAGGAGGAAGAGGAGGAGGACGAGGAGCGGGAGCAGGAGCAGGAGCAGGAGCAGCAGGCGGAGGAGGACAGACCGGCGCGGCCGCATGATCTGTGTGAGAGGAGCAGCAGCAGCAAGAGCGGGGGCTGGAGCGGAAGGAGGAGGAGGAGGAGGAGGAGGAAGAGGAGGAGGAGGAGGAGGAGGAGGAGGAGGAGGAGGAGGAGGAGGGGAGGAGGGAGGAGGAGGAGGAGGAGGAGAACGGAGGAGAAGGAGGAGGGGGAGGAGGGGGAGGAGGACAAGCCAGCGCAGCCAGGGGGCGGGAGCAGAAGGAGGAGGAGGAGGAGGAGGAGGAGGAGGAGGAGGAAGGGAGGAGGAGGAGGAGGAAGGACGCCACGTGGCTGGCGACAGCGCGCCGGCGCGACCCGCCAGCGCCAGTTGGCAGACTGCCCATCCCAGCAAGCGCCCTGGGTGGGCAGGTATTACGGTCATAAGGACATGTGGGTAGGCACAGCCGAAAAAAGGCTTCGGACCCCAGCGTCCTTCCCCTCCAACCCATCCAATCATCCATCCATCCATCCATCCAGCTGTCATCACCCTCCTCCTCCTACTCCTCCTCGTCGAAGTCGTCGGCATCATCATCATCATCATCATCATCATCATCATCATCATCATCATCATCATCATCAGAATCATCATCATAATCATCATCATCATCATCATCATCAGAATCATCATCATCACCGTCAACATCATCATCATCATCATCATCATCATCATCATCATCATCATCATCATCATCATCATCATCATCAGCATTATCATCATCATCAGAATCATCATCATCACATCATCATCATCATCATCATCATCAGCACCAACATCAGCATCATCATCATCATCATCATCATCATCATCATCATCATCATCATCATCTGCATCATTATCATCATCAACATCATCATCAGCAGCACCAGCATCAGCATGACCATCACCATCATCATCATCATCATCATCATCATCATCAGCGAGATCATGATCATCATCAGCATCCTCATCATCATCATCATAATCAGCACCATAATCATCATCATCATCAGTATCATCATCATCATCATCATTATCATCATCATCATCATCATCATCTGCATCAGTATCATCATCATCAGCATCAACATCATCATCATCATCAGCAGCATCATCATCAGCATCATCATCATCGTCATCTTAGTCATAATCCTCATCAGCAGCAGCAGCGTCATAATCGCCATTAGCATCATCATCCTCATCATCTCATCAGCAGCAGCATCATCAGAATCAGCAGCATCAGCAGCATCATCATCACCATCATCATCAGCAGCAGCAGCAAAATGAGCATCAGCATCAGCATAATCATTATTAGCATCCGCAGCATCACCATCATCATAATCATGGAGAGCATAATCATCATCAGCATCATGGTCATCATCATCACCATTATCAGCATCATGATCATCATCATCACCACCACCATCATCACCATCATCATCGTCATCATCATCCGCATAAATAAATAACAACCTATTCTCGAAAAAATGACAATAAGAACAATAATAGTAATGATAATAATCATCATCACGATCATCACCATCATCAGCATCATCATGCCAGTCATCATCGTCATCCTCACCATCAGCATCATCATCTTAATCCTCCTCGTCCTCATCATCATCCTCATCATCATTCTCATCATCCTCATCGTCATCATCGTCGCCGTCGTCGGCAGCAGCAGCGTCAGCATCGGCATCGTCACCGTCATCAGCATCATCATCATCAACATCATCATCCTCATCCTCATTCTCTTCATCATCCTCATCTTCATCACGGTCCTCATCATCCTCCTCCTCCTGCTCCTCCTCGTCCACCTGCTCATCATCGAAATCATCACCTTTTTCGTCATCATCACCATCAACATCATCACAACCATGATCAGCATCATCATCAGCATCATCGTCATCATCATTGTCATCAACAGTATCATTATAATCATCAGCATCATCACCAGCAGTATCACCACCACCACCGCCATCATCATCAGATTCACCACCATCAGCATCATCATCATCAGAGTCAGCATCACCATGATCATCATAATCAGCATCATCATCACCAGCATCACCACCATCATCAACATCACCATCGTCATCATCATCTCATCAGTAGCAGCAGCATCAGCATCATCTTCAGCATCAGCATCATCACTATCATCATCAGCAGCAGCAACAGAATGAGCATCAGCATCAGCATCATCATTATCAGCATTACCACCATCATCATAATCATGGGCAGCATCATCATCATCGGCATCATCATCACCATCATCAGCATCACCATCAGCACCAACAACACCAGCATCATCATCACCACCATCATCATCACCACAATCATCATCGCCATCATCATCCGCATAAAACTAATAAGAATAAACAATCTTCAAAAAACTAATAGGAGTCAAAGCAATATATAAGTAAAAAATAATAATGATAAGAATAATAATTGTAATCATCATCATCATCACCATCACCGTCTTCATCGCCATCACCATCATCATAATCATCATCATCAGCAGCAGCGGAATAAGCATCAGCAGCATCTCCATGATCATCAACATGATCAACATCATCATAGTTATGGGCAGCAAGCACCATCATCATCATCAGCATCTTCGTCATCATCACCATCATCAGCATCATCATCACCAACATCAGCATCATCAGCATCACCACCACAACCACCATCATCATCATCATCATCATCATCATCATCATCGGCATAATCATCATCATCATCATCATCATCATCATCATCATCATCATCATCATCATCATTGTCATCATCACCGTCAACATCATCGTCATCGCATCATCAGCATGATCATCATGCCGGTCATCATCGTCATCATCCTCCTCATCCTCCTCATCCTCCTTATCATCAGCATCTTCATCATCATCGTCGTCGTCGGCAGCAGCAGCATCAGCATCAGAATCATCATCGTCACCAGCATCATCGTCCTCATCATCATCATCATCATCATCTTCATCCTCATCCTCATCCTCATCCTCATCCTTCTCCTCCTTCTTCTCCTCCTGCTCATCATCGCAATCATCACCTTTTACGCCACCATCACAATCATCATCACCACCATTATGAGCATCATGGTCGTCAGCATCATCGTCATCATCAGCATCATCGCGATCATCAACAGCATCATCATCATCATCATCACCATCACCACCTCAACCATCATCATCACCACATTACCAGCATCAGCAACAGCATAATCATCAGCATCATCGTCAGCATCATCGTCATCATCATCATCATTATCATAGTCAGCATCAGCATCATAATCATCATCAGCATCATCGTCATCATCAGCATCATCGTGCTCATCGTCATCATCTCATTACCATCAGCAGCATCATCAGCATCATCATCAGCATCATCACCACCATCAGCATCAGCAGCAGCAGCAGAATGAGCATCAGCATCAGCATCATCACTATTATCGGCATCGCCACCATCATCGTAATCATGGGCAGCATCATCATCAGCAGCATCGTCAGCATCATCATCGCCATCATCAACATCATCGTCATCAACATCATCAGCAGCGTCATCATCACCACCATCACCAACATCAACATCATCGGCATCATCGTCATGATCATCCGCGTAACGCTAATCATCATCATCATTATCGTCATCGTCATCATCCTCATCCTGAGCCTCCTCATCATCCTCATCATCCGCATCATTCTCATCATCGTCATCGTCGTCGTCGGCAGCAGCATCAGCATCAGCATCGTCATCGTCATCATCATCATCCTCACCCTCATCCTCATCATCCTCATCTTCATCACGGTCCTCATCCCCCTCCTCCTTCTCTTCCGCCTGCTCATCATCGTAATCATCACCTTTTCCGCCATCATCACCATCATCATCTTCACAACCATGATCAGCATCATCATCAGCACCATCGCCACCATCGTCATCATCGTCATCATCATCAACCGCATCATCATCGGCATCATCATCACCACCATAACCATCATCATGAACATCACCATCAGCTTCAACACCATCAGCAGCATCAGCATCAGCATCATCATGATAGTCACCATCGTCATCTTCATCAGCAGCATTATCATCTGAATCACCAGCATCATCATCATCATCAACATCATCATCACCATCATCATCTCATCAGCAGGAGCAACATCATCAGCATCATCATCGTCATCATCATCACCATCATCATCAGCAGCAGCAGAATTGGCATCAGCATCAGCACCATCAATATTATTAACATCATCATAATCATGGGCAGCATCATCATCAGCATCATCGGCATCATCATCACCATCACCAGCATCATCATCAACAGCAACGCCAGCATCAGCATCACCGCCACCACCACCATCATCATCATCATCATCCGCAGAACAATAGTTATAATATTCATCATCATCATCACCATCATCATCATCATCATCATCATCATCATCATCATCTTCACCGTCATCATCACCATCATCATCAGCATCGCATCATCAGCATCAGCACCA